CAGCAGAGGGCGGGTGCAATGCTAGTTTACTATTGGCTATTGCAAATTGAAATAGCCAATAGGAATCTAGCAATGCATTCCTATGGGCAAACATTTATATATTTTTTTCTATTCTGACACGGCTCCGTGTCAGAATAAAGAAAAAAAGGAAAAGCAGTGTTTCTCTCCTGGGCGGCCCGGAGCGGGAGACTCCCAGAGCGCCCAGGAGAGTTTTTTTTTCCGTTTGTTTTGACGGCAGCAGAACCGCCAGACAATAGAAAACTGTTGGGCGGAGCTAGCTGTCATTGCTAGCTCCGCACAATCGTTTTCTATTTATTTTTTTGTACTTTTTAAACTATTTTTCTGTTCTGCTCGGTCCCTCTGAGGGACCGAGCAGAACAGCCGAGCTAAATGCCGCTCAGCGGCATTCGGCTATTCACTCACTGCTGTTCGACATCTATAAGAATAGACCGAACAGCAGCGAGTAGCCTGCCGAAGGTTCGGCTTAACCGATCCATATGTTGGATCAGCTGAGTCAAACTCCTCCTGCACTATGGGTCGACCGAACAAGCTGAGCATGTCCGGCGGACCCGAAGCCACATGAAGCCACCCGATGTATGGCTGATTTCAGCCGATGTACGGCTGAAATCAGCCATACCAGCCTAAAGTGAATAGCCGAACAGCGTCCGGCTCACTTCACTTCAGGTCGGTCTTGTCTTGTGTCCCTTTGGGGAGATTTTCTTCTACTTCCTGTGAGAGGAGGAAGACTCCCCCCTTGTTTGTTACCCCAGCGACAACTAAACATTTTTAGATGTTCCCTCAATCTACAATTCACTCTGACAACTACAAAGGGTTATTCTCCCCAGCAGGGCCAAAGACAGCAACAAAGAAAACTTTACGCCAGAAAGAAAAAACCTTATAACGCCCATATCTATTATTTTCTGTTGTAAATGAGCAATGCTCTATTATGGTCAACTTGTTGCAAAATAGTCTTATCTTTAATAATTGGAAAAATAATATACTGTATATGTTTCAATCTTATGTTAAAACATTATTCGGTTAAATGTTTGTTATGTACAGTTGTTAATCATTGAGTACAATACTAAAATCTACAATTTTGTTTGGAATTTAACATTTTGGCTTGTATAGGCTTGTATATGAATTTGATACAAAATGTATCAAAATTGTAAAAAAATTTAACATTTTTATATACAGGATTACGGAAAATGCTAGTGATACAAAACCAAATACTAAATAACTAATTTCAGCTTTCACTGGTTTAGGAACTTTGCATGGAATTAAATGTAGGTCACAGATGCAAAGCCTGTTACTTACAACTATTCGCACAAAATCTTTTCAACCAGTTGAAAATTAAATTATTTCCCAGCTATTGGTTAACTAGCCCTGTAGTATGTATTATGGTCGCCATACACTATAGAACACATGACCCAGATCTAAAAGAAAGAGCACTAATTACCTATCTACTCAGCTGCCCCTTCTTCTAATATTCATCTTGCATGGTTTTCTTAACATCTTCCTCTCATATGTCACGTTTTACAATATAAAGATTTAAGTAACTTACTGAAATTAAATGTACCAATTAGCTATAGCATGGGGAAGTTTCAATGTTCATCAATTTCTTTTTACTTTTAACACTTTTAGAGTTCATTCCTCTTAAAGGCAATTCACTTGCTGTGAGCATATCTGTGCTCTGTAAATATTTCATTTTGGGTAATGATTAAGTTGACTTACGTAGTTTCTTCAGGCATTAAACCTCTGCATGCAATGCACATCATGACACCACCAATTAATGAAATACCGCCGGCTACCCATCCAACAAATAAAGCAGAGCCAAATGTGTATCTGTAAAAATTGTACATAAATATCTGTTAGAAAATGTTGTGTATATGTAGGTTGATGGAGAACTGATGCAATCATTATTATAGACAACAATCCTTTCCTACAGTACACAGACATATAATACACAGATATATAATAGACGTACCTTGTCTGGAGAGTCTGCAGACCTCCCATCCCTCCCATACCACTGATGGCTCCGCCTGTGTACATGCTAGATGTGGTCATCCAAAAGTTGGTCACCAACATATTGGCAAAGACTGACACACCAATTATTGAACAAAGACCTTAGCAAAGGAAAATTAAGGAGAAGACAATAAGTATAATATAAATGTCATATTAGTGTTTCTATCATTTTAAGTGTACCTTTTATTAATCTAGCTCACCATAAAAAAAATCTATTTACTGATTTATTCTAGACCTTGAATGCCTTTCCAAGTATGGTAAACCTTCTAAGTTTGAGATCAGAAAAGTGTTTAAGGCACCTTATTACCAGTCCAATTTTACTTTTACTACCCAAGCGTGCCATGTGTTTAACTCCATGTTCAATTGCAAGGTTCCAGGTAGGGAACCATGCATCTCTCTACATAATATATTTGCATGCTGGTTATTAAGAGACTCTGTTAAGGTTGTATGTGTATTTTCTTTATTTCTTTAGTTATTCAAGTCATGGCTAAAAGATAACATATTAAACAATTTTCATCTGGATAAGGAATTTGCATATGAATATTTTGCATACCTATTTTCAGCCAACAGGTGCCAATCTAGGCTTAATTTTTTTTTTTACTATTCTTATCTACTTTGATGGAAAAGTAACAACTGCTTAAAGAGTTACCTCAAGCTGAAAATAAGACATTCATTCTGAGCTTTCAATAAAATAAAGTCTGAAAGGAAACAGTCTCTGCTTTTCTCTTTCTAAAAGCCCATCAAACTCTGTAAATCCTCTGTCATGTGTTCACCCTGCATTAAATGTTTATTTTCAAAACAAAAGATTTTTTATAAATATGTCTGTGAAGGTTCTCATTCATCCAGGTCATGGTATATCTGGAAAAAATAAGTCAAGGTAACTGGACTTGCTGTATTTTTCTTGAAGACGTTTCACTGGTCATCCAACCAGCTTTCTCAATTCAGAATGACTTGTACAGAGAATTTGTTTACAAGTCATTCTGAATTGAGAAAGCTGGTTGGATGATCAGTGAAACGTCTTCAAGAAAAATACAACATGTCCAGTTGCCTTGACTTATGTTTTCCAGATATTTGTATAAATAGTTGAAACAGATAACAGAGAGCAGTAAGAGGCTGGTTAGTTGTGGGTAGATGGGCTTATGTGACTTTCTAAAGCCATATTTACATTTTCCATTTAGCTGCAAGAGAGCATATATATATAATGCTCAATCAGTTGGCCTACGTTAGTTTTTAAAAATGGTTTGGTAAATATTCCTAAGTGTTCCCATGATGTTATCAGTATGTTCCAGCTCATTTTGTTGACTAAAGCTCAGGATGTATAGAGGTACTGCCATTTCACCCACAGTGTAATGTTTCAAAAATACTTGTCACATGCTTTTCTATTCACATTGTGGAATTCACAATGGAATGCTAAAGAACCAACCAGTATAAATATATGATTATTAAAAACCAAACTCGAGGTCACACATTTGTGTGTCCTCAACCTTAAATGAATAGAGTAGTATATAGAAGGGGGTTCTTCACAGTAAGATCAGTTAGGGTCTGGAACTCACTGCCACATTGATGTGGGCATTTAAATATTTATGTTTTAAGAGCTGCATAATATCTTGGTCATAATAAAATAGTCATACAAAAATTATGAAAAAACTGTTTATCATATTAGATTAGATAATAAAATATAGCACTAAGGATTCTATACTATTATCATCAGGTATCTGATAATATGCTCGGTATTGAAGAAACTATGGGGTCTATTCACGAAGCAGTCGAAGGATCTAGCCGTAGCTTCGGCCGATCCTTCGGCTAGCTTTGGCCGAAGGACCCCTTCGCTTCAGTAGAACCGAAGGGCTGCTGTACGGGCTATTCGCTATAGCCCGTACAGCTCCCAAAGTCGGCCGGCGGCTCAGTTGAGCCGAAGGCATATGGTTTGGAGCCGTGTCAGAATAAAAAAAATGTCCCCATAGGAATGCTTTGCTGGATTCCTATTGGCTATTTCAATTTGCAATAGCCAATAGCAAACTAGCTATTGTACCCGCCCACTGCTGCAGTTCTCCATCAGGTCCCCACTAGTGATTGACAGCAGCAGAGGGTTCCTTCTGCACTTCGGGTCGGCCGAACATGCTGAGCATGTTCGGCCAACCCGAAGCCACGCGATGTGCGGCTGATTTCAGCTTATGCTGAAATCAGCCGTACCAGCCTGAAGTGAATAGCCGAACCACGTTCGGCTCACTTCACCTTAGGTCGGTCATTCACTCGGCTGCCTACGGCAGCTTAGTGAATAGACCCCTATATAATGGTTTTGCATATTATCTTACTGTACTTATCAGAACTAACATAAAAATACTTTATTTGTAAAAATATATCTCTTAAGTCAGGTAAATAATAAAAATATGAGATATGGATATGTTGTATTTCCATTTTTAGCTAATGAATGGATATTTATACTTCTCTTAATGTGTTTTCCATTCTATCCTAACCTGAGTTCTATAAAAAATCCTTTTGTTTACAGACCGTAATAGCTCAAACTCATATTAACATGCGCAACTGAATGAGTCAGGGGAATAACCCCCCCCCCACCTTCTCTGGTCAAAGGGGGACATGTAAAGGTTCAAATAGTGAGAGATAGTCTGAAAGTAAACAGCTTCTGCTGTGCTTTGTCTGATTAGAAAACCGTCAGTGCTCTGTGACAGTGTCATGACTGCACCCTGAATTAAAAGTTTAATTGTAAAAACATATAAACAGCAAAAAAGACATAAAACTAGTTTAAAAATGTATACACATACAGAGAGATTAAATAAAACTAATATAGCTCCCCTTTACAAATAACCTGTCATCTGGGCCTAATTTATCAACAAACATCTGAGACTCTGGCAATTAGTGGTGCCTCATAGTAATCAATTAGATGTAGAGTTGCACTGAAGAATGACACTTGGAACATGAATAGTTTACTCTAACTGGGTACTGTAAGGGAAAACAGACTGTGAGACAGTTACTCCATCAGGCACCTTGATGAAAGAAGCCTAAAGAAGGCAGCTATGTATGGGCTGAAGCAACAATGTTCCTCACACATTCTTCTCTCTAACTTATTGGTAAATTAAGTCTATTTTTGTTTGCACTCCTTATAGTACAATCTCATAAATACATATAGCGCAGTATACTGGTGCTTTAGTAAGTACGGATACAATAATATGGTGAGACTATGATATAACATTTTTAACCAGGCTAGCTAAAGAAGTGTAAATGTGGTGTTAATCTTTCAACATTTTTCCACAAGTACCTTTTCTCCTACCTTTGTTTTCACCTTTCAATTTTTATGTACTCTAATGTGCTTTAAATGCAATGACTGTTTCCAGTCCTTCATTATAATGTACATTTGTAGTGTGAACCAATATTTGCTTAGTTGATCAAATATCTTTTTTAAATTCTAAAATGGTATTTGTTTTAGTTGGCGCTGCCGAGATTTCAGGCAGCTCTAAAATATATTATATATTCTTTTTTATTCCATATAACTATACATATATTTGTTTATCGATTTTGATGCTATATGAGTTATTTCTATTTTTTTTAATTCTCAGAACCTGATGGGCATTTCAAATGAACACCCAGCAATGTAATATTTTAGCAAATCAACCCTCTAGTGGAATAGAATGATGTCAATGTGAGTTTGACAGTTTATATCACTTATACTGTAGTAAGCTTTTTGTAGATGTTTCAGGATAGAAGTAGAAATGTTGAACCAAACAACAAATCTCTCACCTGCTACGATGAACAAAACTCCAGATGTAAGAGTGATGTTGGCTTTGGCAGAGTCTTCCATGCTTCCAATTCTGATACATTTCAGGGCAAAAATTGCTATAAGTAAACCGACTGCTCCCAGCACAATCCCTACAATCATCAACGCTCTGCATGCCTGAAACATTGCTGTGGGAGAGAGATGAAGAATTCAGAATTATGGTGTGTTTATTTTCACTTATAATATAATATAACCTTTTTGTATACATTTCTAGATAAATCAAATATCATAATGAACTCGATGTATTTATTTGTTTTAGAAATTTAGCACCTAGTTTAAAGATCGAATGTATTTCTGTTATTATTTTATTATTTTACCTTATAATTAACAATTAAATAAATATATTATTCATTACAATTATGAATGCATATCCATTATATAATTTGCAATATTTTTGTACAAATTTGGTAAAGCTGTGACTCAATAAACCAGTACCAAGTTTAAACCTAATATAATTTACAACACTAAAGATATGGCTAATTATATGGGTTGTTTTATTATTGTCAATATGAGGAAAACCATTTAAATTAATTTACTGCTTAGTAAAATGCATGGTAATAAATTAATGTTCAGAGACCACTTGTGTTGTATACATAATAGGACCAGATCCAGAATAATAAGCATAGTCAATTACAACCAATATTAAGAATGCATTTATAATTCCGTGCCACTATTGAGACCAACAAAAGTTCTTCAAGGAAGAAATATAAGTCTGTTCTTCAATACCATACAGCATCCTAGTAAAACCATAAAATATTTAAATATTTCTAAATAAAGATATGCATTGAAACTGAAGCTCATTATTTCTTTATTCAAAACCCACTATTCATCAACAGGGTGTGGGTGCCAAAGAAATCATGCATAACTAATAAGGAAATTCTTGATAAGAACCAGTACACCTGAATCAAGGCTGATAAGAAATGTTCTGCCTTTGGAAAACAAAAGGCCAGGTTCACAGTTGGGGGAGTAAAGCTTGGTTTTATCAGTCCTCACATACTGAAAGCCATCGCCCCATTTACAAAACATAGACCAGAAGCTATGGAGAAAAAAATATGTTGCGTATAATGTCTTTGCTTTTCCACACACAGAGAATTTTATCCAGATAACAGTTTGAAAAGATATGAAGTCGCGTTTCCCCGTTCCACAGCCAGAGCTCAAGTATGCCAATTACCTTCTACACCACCTAATAGTAGATAATACAAAATTGTGATCTGAACGTTAAGTCCTGAACAGCTCATATAAGGCAGAGACAATGTGCCTGGGCAAGTTTTGAAAATGGAAAACAATGTATGGCTACAAAAATCTATAAACGTGTAATGTCAGCTATTCATAATCTAGTTGAATTGCATTAAAACTTAATCACTTTTCCAAGACTGAGTAGGGGCATATGTATAAAGAGGCAAATGTGACATTCACTAAATATTCACTGCAGGCCTGCCTTCCTGGTCCATGTGTTTTAAAATACAGTGAGTGCTTCCCCTCCGGTGAATGTTTGCTGAGTGTTGCATTCACTGTTTTTTCTTAAAATATACCCCAAAAATGTAAATATGTATCAATAAGTGAAAAACAATACCTAATAATAATGGTAACAATAGCTACTATTATCATTCTTTCAGTTTAAATTTTTAATTGCCATTTGTCAAAATGGTTAATCCTATATTTTATAAATAAAATACATAATAGTATGTATATATATATATACATATACATATATATATATATATATAT